TTTATTTTTTGGTGAGAACACTAGTTCTATTCTCTTACCAAGTTTCAATTATACAATATGGTATTATCAACTATAGTCACCATGCTATACATTAGCTCCTCAGACCTTATTCATCTTATAACTGAAAGTCTGTACTATTTTACCAGCCTTTCCTTATTTCCCCCACACAGCCCACCCCCCATCCCTAGCCCCTGACCACCAGCCTTCTACTCTTTGTTTTTATGAGGTCAATTTTTTTTAAAGAGTCCACGTAAAAGTGATACCATATAGTATTTGTCTCTCTCTATCCGGCATATTTCACTTAGTCATGACCTCCAGGTCCTCCGTGCTGTTACAAATGGCAAAATTTCTTCTAACACTAAACAATATTCCATTGTACATACAGATGTATGTATGTATGTGCGTACGTATGTTTATGTCACATTTCCTGTATTGATCATCCATTGATGGACACGTAGGTTGTTTCCACACCCTGGCCATGTGACTAATGCTGCAATGAACATGGGAGTGCAGATGTTTCTTCAAGGTGAGGATTCTGTGTCCTTTGGCTATATACCCAGAAGTGGGATTGCTAGATCATGTGGCAGTTCTGTTTTTAATTTCTTAAGGAAACTTCATGCTGTTTTCAGTAATGGTTGTACTAGTTTACATTCCCACCAACAGTGGGTTCCTTTTTCACCACATCCTTGCCAGCATTTCGTACCTCTTGTCTTTCTATAAAAATGGACATTCTAACAGGTATGAGGTGATAGCTCCTCATGGTTTTAATTTGCATTTCCCTAGTGATTTGTTGTGTGGAGCAGCTTTTAATGTACCCACCCAACTGCTTCCTTTTACATGTTCCTATCATAGGTATTCCCACCCCACTCTGCAGCACTTCGTCCTTTTCCACGGGGATTACGTATTGTGGGTAGTACCAAACCCTACATCTATTATGTTTTTTCCTATACATTCACACCTATGATTAAGTTGAATTTACAAATTAGGCACAGTAAGAGAGTAACAATAACAATTGTAACAATACACTGTAATAAAAGTTATGTGAATGTGGTCTCTCTCTCTCAAAATATCTTATTGTATTGTAATCAAAGGAAACAATTTAGGCTTCTCTTTGGCATATCTGAATTATCAGCATCACTATTCTTGCATTTTGGGGCCATTACTAAGTAAAATAATAGTTATTTATACCCTAGTTGGGTAGCTCAGTTGGTTAGAGCATAGTTCCGATACCCCAAGGTTGTGGGTTCGATCCCCAGTCAGGGTACAGGCAAGAAGCAACCAGTGGGTGCATGGATGGGTGGAGCGGCAGATTGCTGTTTCTCTTTCTCTCTCTCTCTCAAATTAATAAATTAAAAAAAGATAAGTTACTTGAACACTAGCACTGTAATACTGTGATAGTCGATCTGAACATTTCTCACTTTTAACTCTATAGGTCAACTGGCAGTTCCACGCTGGCTGTGCTTTCTCGTGATTCTGCAGTAGTCTGGTCAGCCAAGACTGGCCGGTTTATCTGGAATGGCTCCCTCATATACACTGCGGTTGGCTGGCGCTCGGATGCAGAGACAGGTGTGATGGGGACACCGCCAGCAGGCTAGCCCAAGCTAATTCTCATGGCAGCTAGACAGGACTCCATGAGCAGAAACGCGTAAGACATCTTGAGACTCAGCTTCATGTTCGATACAACTCTGCCGCATCTATTAGCCAAAGCAAGTTACAAGGTCAGCCCGATTCAAGAAGTAAATTCTACTTCTGCAGTTACATTGCGAAGAGCATAGATACAGATTAAGGCTATTTTTTAATCCTCACCCAAGGATATGTATGTATGTTTGTTTGTTTATTATCGATTTTACAGAGATTGGAAGGAAGAGAGAGAGAGAGAGAAACATTGACGAGAGAGAATATCAATCGGGGCCCAGGCTATTTTTACCATTTCCCACATGCTGTTTGGCCCTACATATGCATCTACTTGTGAGCAGTACCGTTCAGTACATGACATTCATAATGACGATTTTGATTCAGCAAGGAGTTAAGTAACACTTGATATTTTATAGGCAGAGACGTGCAGTATATTGTAAAAAGCTTTCCGTGATAAGCACGCAGGTTAGAAGATTTCCATGGCATAGCTTCCTTCACTGTGGTGTCATTCCCGCGATTTCAGAGACTAGTGTTTACCACAGTATATTCTGTTTGTTCACTGAGTGCTACCAACAGGCTTGAATAAGTAATGGGACACTCCACTGTGTCCTGGTAAAAGGATTCAATAAAAATAAACAAGGGCCACGTCCAAGTCAGATCTTTTTAAGATACAGAAAAACCTGTATTTGTGGAATTCAGCAGGACAAGAGCATGGTCTCACTTCCTAAATACCTGCCACGCACACACAAAATTCTCTGAAGACAGCAACGGAGTCCCGCCCTGTGCCCTTGGACCACAGAGCCAGGTGAGAGGGTGGGCAGGGCTAAATGAGAAGTATTTCAGGCAAATACACAGAAATCTGGCACCTACTAGAAAGAAAAATGGAAAAATGCTTTCATATGTGCAAACTGATAGTATTTTTCAGCAACCACAAAAACTATGCTGAGTTTGAATAGGTAAATAGAAACGAGACCAAATTACAGATAAGCTTAAAAGCATGCAGGTCTTCAAATCCAAGTGATATTACGGGTGCACTTGATCCTTAGACTATGTGGCCTAGTTTTGCTGGATGACCCTCTAATTTCTGAAAAGTGCTACAGGATCCTCCTGACAACGACCTCTCCTAACTCCAGCACGGGAACTCTTAGCATTTCCGATGTGGATTTTAGAGACAAAGATAGAACACTGAGACCTGCCAAGGCTGAAAAGGATATCACTTTCAAAGGTTAAAAAAAAATCCCCCCCTCTTTTTTTCTGATGACTACCTAATTACACAAGCCAGGCATGGTGACTGGGAGCCATGAAAGAAGTCTTCTAACGGCAGGGACAACACGGCCTGTCCAAACTCAGTGAAGAAATAAAAAACATGAAACACACAGCAATAAAATGCATCTTTTGAGGGCTGCACATGGAAGCTAATATAATACAATACAAAAAACTCAGAACCTAAGTATATTATCAGAACTTATCAGTGCCTAGTCTATGAGAGCTAAACAGTGTAGCTTTCTTTTCTTTTTATTTTTTATTTTACATAAGAGCATCAAGTTATACAAGAGATTTATTCTTAAAATTCTGTAGGCAGAACAAAATTCTGTAAAGTGAAACCCATTCTTCCTCTGAGAGCTATTATAAAGTCTAACATGTGTATCTATATATAAGCACGGATTTAGGTATCTTTTTGTGTACCACGATAAAAGTTGTAGTGTGGTGTCCCTTGTATTATGATACTCATTTTCCACCTGCCCAGTTGATTTAGGCTCCAAGCATCTCTTGCCAATATCCAGCCATGGCAATGCTTTAGTACTTTTATTTACAACTCAAAAATAATGTTTTGATTTTATATCCAGAGGAGAAACCTGAGGCATGAATTCAAGCACGGAGTATTTTTCAGCCTGTGGGTTTTTGTAGTATCTTAGCTGTTGAAGGAGTTTGTCACTGCTTATTACCATAGAGACCGTGGAAAACGGCTATTACAGGACTAATCACTGTAAACGACTGAATATATTTTGCTTTTGAAGACACTAGGTTCTGTCACCACTTCTAATAAAAGTCAGAGAAGCCTTACAGTGATGTTCTTAAATAAGATCTTTTCCCATAATTCTTATATAATCAATTTCACAACCTGTCTCGCTCCATACACATGTTGGAGTTTTATACAATAGCAGTTTTAGGATAGTTTTGACACTTCTCAGTTGAAATAAATCCTGGGTGAACTATAAAGCAGATCTCTACACTAACAGAATCCTTACTACACCTGCCAACTTCAAACAACATTCCCTGTGGCCCTGGCTGGTTTGGCTCAGCGGTCAGAGCATCACCCGCAGACCAATGAGTCGCTGGTTTGATTCCAGACAAGAGCATGTACCTTGGTTGCAGTTCATCCCTGGCCCTGGTCAGGTCGTGCGGGAGGCAACCTGTTGATGTGTCCCTCTCAGGTCGATGTTTCTCTTCTCTCCCTCTCCCCCCCCCCCCCCAAAGATAAATGGAAAAATGTCCTCTTGTGAGGATTAAGAAAAAAAATGTGTGTGTGTGTATGTATGTGTGTGTGTGTGTGTGTGTGTGTGTGTGTATATATTCCCTTTGACTCTCACTCTCAAGCAATTTAAATCAACCTTGTATAATAAGCAAATACTTGTGATTATTTATCCACTGGTCATTCAGACAATCAGGTGCTCAAAGTCACACAGCTCACAAGGACCCTAAGAGTTTCATTAGTGAATAAATAATTATGATAAAAGAACATCAATTGTTTGTGTGCAGAAATGGGGTATTTCTAAGACTGAGAAAAAGTGCAAAGTTTATTTATTATACTTATTTGTACTGTGAAGAAACACCATTCTAAGCAAAGATAAATACAATCAAGTTCATTGTATTTATCCCAAGTTGGGGATTAAAGGAAAGAAACATTATCTCAAAAAACAAAAACAAAACAAGAGGTAGATTCAGATATACAACTATGCCTACTTAAAGCATGAAGTGATGAGAAACTCTTGAATACAACTTGAGGAAAATAAAACTTTAATAACACATTGCTATAAATATTTAAAAATAGAGAACTTAGTTACATAATTTTACTAATATAAAGGGTCAATGGTATTAAACTATTATTTATTTCTATTTCAATGCATCATTTTAAAATTCAAAAAGCAGATTAGTGTCTGCAGTGGTTGAGGGAAGGGGAAATGGAGAGTGACTGCTAATGGGCACAGGGTTCCATTTCAGGGCAAGAAAATGTTCTAAAAATTAGATATATAATTCTGTAAATATGCAAAATAACAATGAATTTTATACTTTAAAAGGTTAAATTTAACTTTTTTCTGGCTCCCGGACAGCTTGGAGGCTGTGCTTAGTTGCGGGCCAGAAAGATGGTGCCTGCAAAAATGATAAAAAAGTCACTGGAGTCGACCAGCTCTAGACTCCACGTTGCTATGAAAAGTGGAAATTACGTGCTGGGGTGAGAGCCGACTCTGAAGTAATCAGACAAAGCAAAGCAAACCTGGCCATCCTCGCCAACAACTGTCCAGCCTTGGGATCTGGAACAGAGTACGGGGCCACGTCAGCCAAGACTGGTGTCCATCACTACAGTGGCAATGACACTGCACTGGGCACAGCATATGGAAAATACTACAGTGTGTGCACACTGGCTCCCACTGACCCAGGTGATCCTGGTGTCATTAGAAGCATGCCAGAACAGACAGGTGAGAAGTAAATCACGCGAAATTTTTCTTCACTACAACTGGCCAGAGCTTGGGGGAGGGGGGGGAGTAAATTTCATTGTATGTGAATTATAGCTCAATTAAGTTATTGTAAAAAGAGGTAACATTAAATATTTTCTGTTTAGAAATTCACGTGGGTAATAAAATGATTATTCATTCCAGGTTAATATGCTGAGTACATTAAAATCTCCTATTTTTAAGTGCTTTGTCTATTATTTTCTAGGAAATTATCTCCCTGAATGGTTACTCTACTGCCCTAAATATCCACAGGCTTCTATCAGCGCTTCTAACAACTTATAACTCTTACAACAACCTATTTCCATAGGCCTCTAACAACTCTAAAACACAGAAATGACACCAAATATTGAAGAGTTTGACAATGACAGACCCATTTTTTTATTTTAAAAAAAGGCTTAAATTCCAGTGGCCTACAAAATATAAAGACACCTGTTTTCCTGAGAATTAACAGCTGTAAATACAGACAACATAAGTAATTTCACACATCAAGCTGATGTGTAATAAAATAAATCTACTCAAGGTTCTTCTTTCAACAAGATAAGACTCGAACGATAAATGACTACAGCTCATCTTGTTAAGATCAAAAGGGAATGACTTCTGCAGCAAAACATGCGTACCAGCTAAGCTATTTCACCAGCTCAGTTACTAAAGACACGGACACATTCTTGCACTGAGCAGCAAAAAGGAGAAAGTAGGGATTCTTAAAAGACTTGATTTGTCAAGTTTGTAAAATGCTCTGTAACTTTTAATTAGACTTGAGTTTAATGTATCCAGATGAATGTCTCTAAATTGTGTTGATGAGCAATAAGATAGACTTTTCCTTAGCTTGTAAGCTCTCTGCTGATATTTCAAATCCACCAAAACTGTAGCAGTGGGACATCAAGAAAGAACAAGATCTATAAGATCACCTTCTGTGCCATCAATTAAAGGTCATACAAAGTGGTTCATTTTCACGGTGATCCTAATTCTAAAGGGCAATAGGGCTATACTTTATTTAGCATTTAAATTTTAACTACAGGAGTTACTGCAAATGTTTATGCATAAGAACATGAGCTGCACTTAAATGGCCTTTGAAATAAACAAACATCATTAGAAAAATGTCAACATCAATAGAAAAAAAAATATTTTCTAAAACCATAATTCAGAAATACACCAATGAAAAAAAGGTAGTTATTAATGAAAAATGTAACTAATAGTATAAACAGATAACCTCGTGCTTTTTTATATCATAAATTTTATCAGTGCTATACCGAGTAGCATCACAATTTTTTTGCTGCAAGAGAGAAAAAGACAGTTTTTTCCTATTTCCAGTCTAAAGAGCTAAGCTTCCTCCAGTACTATCTAACAGGCCCACATAATGGTCAATGAGGAAATCGAGTCTCAAAGTTATTGAGTATCTTGCAGATTTCAAACTCAAGTGTTCTAATTTTTTGAGAATGTCATTTTAAATAATTTTTCTTTATTGATTTTTTTTTTTTTTTTAGAGGGAGAGAGATAGAGACATCGATGAGAGAAAACACTAATTGGCCACCTCCTGCATGCCCCTCTACTTGGAATCAGGCCCACAACTTGGGCATGTGCCCTGACTGGGAATCGAACCGGTAACCCCTTGCTGCATGGGTTGATGCTCAATCACTGAGCCACACCAATAGGGCTCGAGAATGTCATTTTAAAGAACAAGGAAAATTTCCCACTATGGAAAACTTGAAAATGCATTTGGGATCTTCTACTCATATGTAGTCCCCAGAACTATGAGTGCATCCTGGTTGCCCATACAAGGGGTACCTAGAGTGCTTGCCCTAACCTGTTCCCTTCGAATTACTCTATTTTCCTTCCACTGTTTCCTTTAGTCTCAATTCTCTAAATCCATGAGTTCTTTTTGCCTTTTCCACACTAGCACATGAAACAACTTTATATATGAAAATAGCAAGCGTACTCACAACTTCAGATGCTATCTTTATGTTAAATCATAGAGAGAACATTTCTAGTTCATTACTTAAAAAGCAGTATGTCACAATATAAACCATAACAAAAAGAATTCTGCCCACCAGAGGATTAAGCTTTGCCAGTACAATGAGACCTGCTCTATAAAAATAACTCTCCTAGTGATATGGCCTGTTGCCGAGACCCTCCTACAGCAGATCCTGTCCTTGTTGGGGACAAAACAAGCTTTAGCACCATGCCAACATGACAGCTGCCAAAAGTGGATTCTTCTCGATTCTGAAGACCCGTCACGGCATTTCCCCACCAAGGCAGCCAACCTTATCTGTTGTGACCGTGTGTTCTGATCATGTATCTTATACAAATATTTTATACAATTTTAATTAAACAGTTTATTAACACAGTGTATGCCATCTCTGTGATATCGACTAGGGAGGAAGCTTTTATTTCAAAAAGAATTTAAAACTGTAAATTTGGGGATTGACCAAAATAATCTTATCTCTTAGCTTTCTAGATTAGTTAATTCTAATATTTCTAGAACTTTGACAGGGTATACAAGAAGTTCAAAATGTCCTGGCCTTCATGGCACTTCAGTAGTATTTAAAGAGATAATATTAACAGAGTCAAAAATAATGAGAAAAACTGAAGTGGATGGTACTATAGACTTTACTTCCTAATGATCTTTCTCCTGCAATACCCATGAGGTAAGACACGGTGAGTCTGCAGTAGTCAATCATAGACATCCTTCTCAGTAGATCTCTCCAACAATATGTATTATAGACCACTTGTCTCATACAATTAAAGGAAGGATGCAGTTGATACAGTACTAGTGAACATAGGCATGAGCCTTCCTGTCATGGGTACTATATGTACCACATGGCTGGCTCAGTCAAAGCCAATGCCTGAGTAGATAAACTGCTTTGACTTGTACTTTTTCCCTCAAGACTGTCTTCTGTAAGCCTTGTAATATAATAAAATAAATTATGAGTAGTTGGTTGAATGTCCTGGGAAGGCCCAATGACTCCAATTGTCACAAAGCTTCTAACACATAGGACTAGTTTTTTCCTAATGAACTAGCAAAGCATTTCAGACAGATTCATTTATAATTTGAGATATGCAGTAGCCCAGTTTGAATAAACTGTTATAGAAATCAGCAATAACTAAAAATACAAATTCATGTTCAGTCAAGGGCATGCATTTTATTAAGCTTTAAAATGGCACAAAAGATAAGAAGGGAAAGTGTTAATCTGATATAGACAGATAATCGCTCCTATTTGGCTTACCAGACAGACTCTCATAGTTGACTTTAAACTGGGAATTCTGGGGAGGGCATATACTGTAGCTTATTAACTGTATATCTTAACGGAAGGAGCCGAACTAGTGATCTACCTGTCAGTAAAGCTGTATAACTTTAACCAAGGGAAACTATATGGCACCGCAGGTCAGAGAGATGCCTTTGCCTCAAGTGGAAGAAATGATCCGTCAAAGGCAGTGCTTAATCTGTCTTGGCAGTGAAGATATCTGGCCCTGACCTACTTCCCTAAACCACCACGATGTTAGCATTTTATAATATTTACATTTTTTAAAATGTACTTTGTGCCTCTCTATCTTGAATTATACAAAATCATAATTCAAGTTCTTTTGGAAACACTCAGTTATTAATGGCTTTTCTTGATTTTAAATTTTCCCCATAAATAATTTTGCTTAAATTGGCTAATTAAAATATCAAAATTTTGTTCTGCTATCCAAAAAGGTACTAGAAAACCTATAAAAGTTATCTTCTAAAAATTACAAACATAAGCAATAAATACAATGAAATACAGTAGTTCATCAGCAAAAAACAAAAGTAACTAAAAAGAGGTAAAGTGTTTTAATGTAAGAAAAAATGAGTTCAGTGTTATTACAGAATAAGACTAAATAAATATTATAAAATAATAATTTCCCAAGCTTTCAAAAAGCCTTTTATATTTCTACTGATTAACATATTTCTGGCAATCAACTAATACCCAAATAAATCAACATTTCTACATGATGTTATAGGAGTATACTCTTGATTAATAGTGGTTGTTGAGAGAGATTAAGGAGGAAGAGAGAAATAAAAAAGGAGGAAAAGGGGAGGAGAGGAGAGAAGGAAGTGGAGGAGAGAGAAAGGAAGAGCAGAGAAGGGGAAGAACATACGATAAGTGATAAGTGATGTCCACCAAACTGAGAGAAGTTCAATACATCTTGCTTAAAGATAGGGTAAGAATACACATAATTATGAGAATAAGTATCAAATGAAGACAAATTATTAATATTCTAGCTAAGGAGTGGGGTGGGGGCAGGTATAAGAAAACCAAAACCAACCCTGGCCAGTTTAGCTCAGCAGTTAAAGCATCAGCCCGCAGACCAGAGAGTCCCGGGTTCAGTTCCCACCAAGGGCACGTACCTCGGTTGCGGTTCGTCCCCAGCCCTGCTTGGGGTCATGAGGGTAGCAACCAGTCAATGTGCTTCTCTCACATAGATGTTTCTCTCTCTCTCTTCCTCATTCTCTCCCTCCCGCTCTACCTGAAGATAAATGCAAAAATGTCCTCAGGTGAGGCTAAAAAATAAATAAAAAATGTTTTCCAGAATCAGTAAACTAACTAGTTTTCCCAATAAACTGTTCATGTCCAAAACAGATAAATAAGGAAATCTTATTGGGATACTCCACCCAGTCTTCTGATCTGTCATATATTATAAGATACAAACTGGATGGTAGTAACTCCCACAGAATTGATCAAACCATGTAATTCAAAGAATAAGCAAACAAAAATAAATTCTTTGGAAAGTAAGATTCTTGTATTTTTCAGCATCTAAATGTGGATACTGCTGATAAATACACTTAAAAAAAAGGGAAGAAAATCCAAAATATAAAACAAATTGCATGCATAAAAATATTCAACACATTATTTATGGTGATTGCCATACTGTTGTCTGTGTCCATGAGTTTTTCTTTTTTTCTTTGCTTAATCCTTTCACCCTTTTCATCCAGTCCCCAAACCCCTTTTCTTTG